CTGCCGAACCAAACTGATTCAAACGCCGCTCTTCTGCCGTACTTAACTCATCAGCTAGGTTCGGCGCGTGAATGGAGCGGCGTTTGGAACGGGCCTTGGTCTCTGAGAGCTAAATAGTCTAAATATGCAACGACAGCTCTCAGTTCCAAAAGGAATCACAAAAAATTAGCCGTCGTGGTTCACGTTCTCCAAAATACGTAGAACGTAGTCATTTTACGTTGTTGTGCAGAGGACGGCTACTAAATCAAATATACAAAGACTTCGTCACACATATCCATTGTTCCGCCTATTGAACCTATTGTTTGGTGACGTTTTCGTTGCCGTTGTTGTCGTGGTTTGCTTAAGCAACCTCGTTCCCAGGCTCTCTCTCCTCTGCCTCCCGTGGTCGTTGGAAGAAAGACCCTGGTTGCGGCTGGTCACATCACCTCCCAGAATCTGGATGGTAAAAAAATCTGTTGGGCGGGAGAGGTGGCAGAGTGTTTTGATTGTTGCTGTGGCAAACTTTGTGGATTTCAAAACCTCGAGCAGTCACTAGAAACTACCCGCTTTGCCGGGGTTTGATGTGGAATTTTGCCAATGAAGGATGCTACATTATTTCTGCCGTCTCCAAAATATATTTAGACAGATGTTTAAACACGGTTCCTTGGCATAATCAAGAACTATATTTTGCAAAATGGTAACCAAAACCTCCGCTTTATATAGCGACCAATTTGCCGTGAGGTTAATTCAGGCAACATGAAACGGCGAAACAGTTTTACTTTTTAGTAATTCGACCGGCTGGAATTGAAATCAGAGTGATACTACAATACGTTGGATATATGTAAATATATTTCGTTTGACCTATGTGAAGCTCAGATTAAGACTGGAGAATTTCAAAGGTGTATTTGCCTGTGCTCGTGTCATAGCGATGACCAGCGATCGCCTTTCTTTCGCTTCAGTTGCGATCGGCCAAAAATTATTCATTGACTCCCGTTGACTCCCCCGTTGAAAGGTGTGTGTCCCAGGTGGTCACGTGACCAGCCGCAACCAGGGACTTTCTTCCAACGACTAAGGGAGGCAGAGCAGAGAGAGCCTGGGAACGAGGTTGTTACTTAAGTTCCGTAATATTTGAAACAATACACGCTTTTGTGTTATTTGGCTGATGTAAACACGCTTAGAGTCTGGTTTCTAAATGATTGCTCAGATCACTGCAAAAATAGACTCAGTGATCGTTGTGATCATATGGAAGCCACTCTCCGGCGCTTGTAGCGATCGCTGCGATAATAGCCGCTGAGATAGACGTTAGTTCTATCTCGGCAATCGAAGTAGTCTAATGGAAACCGGTAGTCGTAAGGATCATTTTCTGTGGCGATCGCATCAATCGTATGGAGACCATCCTTAAGGGTGAGATTCTCTGCTCCACAAAAGAAATTGGAAAATATTATGATGTTTTGAGGCAGTGCACATGTTACTCACTTCTGTCAAAAAGCAAAATCTATATTTGAAGATTATCTTAGACTACTTCCTGGGGCGCCCTAAAAGGCCTAAAGAATAGACCGGAACAAGAAACGGTACTTTGAGTGATACTTTTCAGTAGTATTTAGACAATTTCAGCGGAATCCGCTTCACCGGAACGCTAGAAGCAATTTGGAACTTTTGTAGTTGTCAATCAAAGGCAAGATGCAGCCACAGTAACTAACAACTGAGTCACTTTGTCTCACTTTCCAGCGGAAGTTGCAAATGTGGTGCAGTTTGGTCGATCAGTAAAACGTACCGTGGACTCGAGAATGATAGGACAATATGGCAACGGGCTGAAATCGTAAGTGTTTTAGAATGGGCTAAAATTTATATATCTTCTCAATCGAAAGTAAAGCTAAGGAGAAAACGGATAAATAAAATCGTTAAAATCTGTGCGAATTAGTATCAGATTTCCAACACTCAACGACTGCCCTTAAAAACGCTGGACACCAGCTAGGAACAATAACCACTTGCACCTTACAAACGACTCCTTCACGACATAGACGAAACCTCAAACAGGACGACTTGAATTGACTTGCATTGAATGACGGATCGAAACTTGCTACAACTACAACCAAAGGCTGTTGACAAACTTTACAGGCAGTCTTTTACAGGCAATGTCAACTCATCACGGCTATCACCCTCGACTGACAAAATGAAATACGTTTTGATGGTTTCCCCTCGCGTTGTGGAAACGTTAGTCTCCAACAGCAGTTTAACTCGGAACCATACAAACCCAGACGATCACACCAGACGAATTATGTCCAAACACCGTCACGGTTATGTTTACCATTGTTTAAGCTTGATGAATTATTAATGAGTTTGAGAATCATGAATGCACTTTCACGACTCGTCACTTGGTTATTTAATTTCTTAGGTATTTAGTTTAATTGTTTATGTAATCATTTTCCTGCGTTTCAGAGGCACGATGCGAATAGGGAAAGACATGATACTGTTCACGAAAAAGTAAGTGCGGTTTAAATTATTGTACAGTCTAATGCCGCCTTACGGTCACCTCGTTATTACGGCCCCTTTTTTGTCACGGCGAAACGCCCATACGTTTTCTTATAAGAAAACCCCCTTAATGTGGCCACTCCGTCGATACGGCCAACGGTCACATTCTGAATTCCCAACCTGTATTACCCTTCATAAGTTTACCCCGTGAAGACGGCCACTCAAAACCAGTTGTTTTCATCGTTCCATAATTACAATTTTTTGAAAGGAAAATACTTGCATTCCGGGTGCTTATTAAAGAGCAGTTGATTAGAAATGCAATTGTGATATATCTGTTAAGACGTCACTCGAAATAGATCAGTCATGAAATTTGACGCTACCCCGTTAATACGGCCAAATCGTGATGGCCCGTTGGTGACCGTATTAACGGATGCACATGTTCCAAATGTTATGTTTCGCCTCTGCATGGAATCTTGAATAATAGAGGCCAGTTATTCACAGAAATTCTTATTTTTTTTTCATTCCAGGGGTAACACCATGAGCTGCCTGTTCCTTTCAAGGACTTTTCACGAACGCGAGAAGATTGAAGAAGTAAGTCTTCAAGAAAAGGAAACCAGTTGTGATTTGTTTATTCTGTTGCAATGTTTTCAAAACATTTAGTTTCTTGACCGTAAAATGCAACTACTGTTAATTTCAAAAGAGCGATGAAGTTACGAAACATTATGTTGTCTTTTGATCCAAGTCTTGCTTATGTTCATAGCCAATTTACCTGTTTTATCTTTTTAAAAAGGTTGTAGTTCCAATGCCTTCCTGGGAGGCTTCCACCAACAAACCTCTTGCGAAATCAAAGCGTGAAGTGGATAAAGTAAGCCTCTTTTTCCCTATTTCATATCTGCAGGGAAGTTTCACAGTCCCATGAATAGTCCGATAATTTTTAACGTCTGTTTTTTTCCTTTTTACAGCACCAGATTGAAACAAACTTGATCTTAAAATACTCGCCTTTCAAGACAGAATCTCAGCTGTTTGAGCAGTTTAATAAAATTGGACCCAAAGGTAAAGACGGGAAGTACAACGTGCTTTTCCTGTTAAACTTTCAGTTTTCAATGTTTTCGGTTTCAAGTCTTAATATTAACTCGCGCGAGTTTTGATTTCTTTTCTTTTTAAGGAACACTGGTTGTCGTGTATAATTTAAAGCTCATGGACAACGGCGAACCAGAACTTGATGTAAGTTGAATCGAAATGTTTAAATGACGTTTGTTGAGAACTCAATTATAGTCAACGCATAATTCAATAAAGTCTTACAGTAAGATTAAATCCTAATGTATTTTACTTAATAAAGATGCGTCTACCCTTAATTGTTACTTGTGATAATTGTGTTAGTGAAAGCAAGCTTTCCCCAGACTTTTCGCTGCCTATCTGGGAAGAGAAAGAGAAGAACCTTTAACTGAAGAATATACCAGAATCAGCTTCAGATTCGACAAAGAACAAAATCCCAAACAACCAAACGTTGAGATGTACAGGGCGTGGTCTTCCTAATAACAGCAAACATTTTACCAAAAGTAAGCTTACAGTCAAACCCTAGTACATTTTTTTCCGGAGTCTTAACGAGGGTAAACGTTTGCAAAATGGCCTCATTAAACTGTCGCTGTGAAAAAAAAAATAAATAAATAAATAAATAAATAAATAAATAAATAACGATATGCGATACATGAGTTATGCATACTGTAAGTATCTTTTTCTTCTAAATTCAATTATCGAAAAGCCCAACCAAGAAAAATGATATATTAGGGTATCAATGTTGTTAGTCTATAGCAATTTAGTTCTAAAGTGAACAATCGTGCAACCAAAATGGTGACGGAAACTGGTTCAAGCATAGGCGGCCCAAGCATCGTGCGTAATAGCGGTCTTGCAGCTCGTATACTTATATTATCAATGCGATTGAATATACAGNAACGTCTGTTTTTTCCTTTTTACAGCACCAGATTGAAACAAACTTGATCTTAAAATACTCTCCTTTCAAGACGGAATCTCAGCTGTTTGAGCAGTTTAATAAAATTGGACCCAAAGGTAAGGACGGAAGTACAACATACTTTTCCTGTTAAATTTTCAGTTTTCAATGTTTCGGTTTCGTCTTAATATTAACTCGTGCGAGCTTTGATTTCTTTCTTTCTAAGGAACACTGGTTGTCGTGTATAATTTAAAGCTCATGGACAACGGCGAACCAGAACTTGATGTAAGTTGAATCGAAGTTTTTAAATGACGTTTGTTGGGAACTCAAGTATAGTCAACACATAATTCAATAAAGTCTTACAGTAAGATTAAATCCTAATGTATTTTAATTAATAAAGATGCGTCTACCCTTAATTGTTACTTGTGATAATTGTGTTAGTGAAAGCAAGTTTTCCCCAGACTTTTCGCTGCCTATCTGGAAAGAGAAAGAGAAGAACCTTTCATTGCAGAATATACCAGAATCAGCTTCAGATTCGACAAAGAACAAAATCCCAAACAACCAAACGTTGAAATGTACAGGGCGTGGTCTTCCTAACAACAGCAAACATTTTACTAAAAGTAAACTTACAGTCAAACCCTAGTACATTTTTTCCGGAGTCTTAACGAGGGGAAACGTTTGCAAAAAGGCGTGATTAAACTGTCGCTGTGAAAAAAGAAAAAATTACGATATGCGATACATGAGTTATGCATACTGTAAGTATCTTTTTCTTCTTAATTCAATTCTCGAAAAGCCTAACCAAGAAAAATGAAATATTAGGGTATCAACGCTGCTAGTCAGCATTATTGCTGACGTAGCAATTTAGTTCTAAAGTGAACAATCGTGCAACCAAAATGGTGACGGAAACTGGTTCAAGCATAGGTAACCCAAGCATCGTGCGTAATAGCGGTCTTGCAGCTCGTATACTTATATTATCAATGCGATTGAATATACAGGTTATCAGTGATCCGTACGATATCAAGATGGGGGATCCTCGCGCCGGAGAGAGCGTGGCAGATTACGACAAGTATGTGTTTACTTGACAGCTCTGGCTCTCGTTTAATTTCTTTCTTTCTATTGTACTGTTTCCAACTGATTTCGCATAATATGCGTCCCAACCTGCCATCAACAATTAATTATAAAGGGAAGTGAGAGAATCCTCGACGAGTCAAAGCGGTGGAAACGATTACACCTTGTCATACAGGGGAATCCTGATTATTCGAACCTCTAAGGTAAACGAAAGTTAGTTTGGAAAATCGGATAGCTCCAGAAATCGGGGGTTAAATTACAGTGTTCGACTGATGGGAGAGGACGACTTTTAATTCGCCGGAGTTGTCAGGATGTTTGAAAAATTGAGGCTTCGACTGAGGAATCGCGATTCCACTGTATATTAATAGCTGCGAAAGTGCGTTGACTACCAAACCCACATCGAATGGCTTTGTAGTACTTCCGTATGTTCAGGGTATCTCTGAGCCTCGTTGCCACCAGCTCTTGAGTGTTTGTTAAAGATTCAAACACCGTGAATGACAACTTAGTCATCCCAGGGGTGTACAAATTCTTAGCGTTTGTTTAAGTTTTAAGAAAACGTAAAGGAACTCTTTGGAATCGCACATAAACGTCGTGCAACGGTTTCTTAATTCAAACCACGCGTAATAACATGAAGCGTTTTTTTAACTGGTGAGGGTCTAAGAGTTTACCATCTACCAAAAAAGCGAGTCAGTGGGAAACAAGTGTAAACTTTATTCGGCATATTCACTGACTCTCTTCACAAGTCTTCGAGTAGTCTTCGTGTGTTACAACTTGCAACTCGTGTCGCACGAAAGGTAGTCTTGTTTTGTAGCAATTCAGAACTGAACTAGCTTTTAAGTGAACAACATTACTGTTGATAAATCTTTACTTTTCAATTGTTTCTTGTTAGGGACCTGCCTGAGCACAATTCTTTCAGGGCATACACCGCCATTTTATACCTGGACCCGCGAATGAAAATTTACATCCAGGTACAAATGATTACGTTTCTTTTTTTGTCAGATGTAATTACCTCCCTTAACAGTAATGCCAATTTATCATCATTATTATTATTATTTAATCAGAACAAAAAGGTCAGAACCAAAAGACTAACGGGCTGCCTATACAAACCCAAGTAAGTAGCGTTATATTCGATAGCTATCATTTTATGAAATAACTGAGCTGCTACGCGCGCGCTCATTGGTCGATAGGTGTGTTTAGATGAGAGCATGTGAACACGGTCGTGACGTTTTAGATTCGTGCGCATTTTTGAGAGTTATTTTGTAAAAGCAATAGAGCACTTTTTCCGTGTTAACATAGCCTCATCTAAACAATCGGAGGGTTAGAATTCTCGAAAGTTTTGCAAACCCTCGACTACGTCTCGCGTTTGCATAACTGTCTCGAATTCTCCCAACCCTCCTCGTGGTTAGATGACACGGACAAAGTGCTCTATTGCTTAAGGTGGCTGAACACAGTTTTCAAGAGCCTCTGCCTAATTCACCATTACTTTAAAGATATTTATGCTTTGGCGCCCGTTTTTTGCAAGGGTCAACGTTAACCACAGAAGGGTTTATTCTCACATTTTGGCTAAGGTGAGTGCTGTTGCCATGGCAACGGGGCTGGTTAAAAACAAGGCTTAAAAAATG